TTGAATTGTGAAAACCTACATGCATCACCTTAAATTTTGGATAGTTAAACATCATCTGCCATGTATTCGCCCAATGCATCAAATTATCTAAATTTCCTTGTAAGTCTGCAGCATCTTCGATAGAGTTAGCCACTTCCAAAATCTCAATGCCATCTGCAAACTTCAAAATTGTGTTAGTCATTCCAGAGTGAATATAACAAACAACAGAGGACTCAGCACATAGCCATGATGTGCACCACTTGTAACTGTGACCCAGTCAGATCTAACTCCATTTATTACTACTCTTCAGCCAATTTAATAACATTTCCCCTACACCCACAGACATAATTTTTGTAACAAGTCTTTTGTGAGGCATCTTATCAAATACTTTCTGAAAATCAGGGTAAACCAAATCCACAGTATTTCCTTCAACTTTTCCAGTAACATCCTCAAATAATGTCAGAAGATTTGTTAAATAAGACTTTCATTTAGTGAAACCATGCTGGCTCTTTGATACTATATCAAACTGCTACTCTGCAATGCATCTTTAATCACACCCTCCAAAACTTTTCCAACTACTGATGTTTATCATCTCCATTAAATATTGGACTAACATTAGCCGACTTACAGTCTTCTAATACTGTTCCACTACTCAATGACCTATAAAATATTAGTTAGTGGTTCACAAATAAAATCTTTAAGTTCCCTTAAAACTCTAGGAGTAAAGTTGTCTGGTCCAGGGGATTTATCAATTTTTAGGTTTCTCAACTTTTCTCTTACAATTTCAGAATTTAAAATGATATCTCTTGCATCAGTATTTTCCCCATACATTAAGTGCTCTGGTTGAGGCATAATACTTGTATCTTCCTTTGTAAAAACTGAAGAAAACATATAATTTGATAAGTTTACCATCTCATAATCTTCCTAGATCAGCTCCCTAATATCAATTTTAAGAGGACCAATCTACATCCTAACATTTTGCCCACCCATCATATACCTAAAGAATTCCTTATTGTTTGATTTAACTTTCTCAGCCAATCCTCTTTCATATACAGTTTTTGACCTTTTAATTTCCTTTTTAACCAGCTCTCTTGATTTCGTATAGTCCTCCAAGTCATTATTATTTCCAGTAAGTTTAAATTTCTTGCATTTATTATGTATATCCCTAATATGATCTCTTAAACCTTTATTAAACCATAGTGGCTTATTCCGCTCCATTGCCCTTCTTTTCTGTAGGGAATATGTATGTTCTGTATGCAAATAAATTTTTACCCTCACAACAGAAGCCAAATCATGTTTCATTCCATCAAAATTGGCTTTGTTGAAATTTGGAATCAGGGTACTATTCTTCTTCAATTCTACATGTAGTAAAATCTCAAACCTAATAAAGCTATGATCATTTGTACTTAAATGCTCATCAACCACAATTCTGTCTATGATATTCACATCGAATGCTAATATTAAATCTAATATAACTTCCTCTCTTGTAGGTTCTATCACCAATTGGTGTATAAAAATATTAACTCTAATATAATAATAGCTTCCTCTCTTGTAGGTTTTATTACCAGTTGGTGTATAAAAATACTAAATCTAATATAGCTTCCTCCCTTGTAGGTTCTATCACCAATTGGTGTATAAAAATATTAACTCTAATATAGCTTCCTCTCTTGTAGGTTTTATCACCAGTTGGTGTATAAAAATACTAAATCTAATATAGCTTCCTCCCTTGTAGGTTCTATCACCGATTGGTGTATAAAAATATTAACTCTAATATAGCTTCCTCTCTTGTAGGTTCTATCACCAGTTGGTGTATAAAAATACTAAATCTAATATAGCTTCCTCCCTTGTAGGTTCTATCACCAATTGGTGTATAAAAGTATCTTGAACAATTTCCATTAGACAATTTATAAAAACCTACCCCCCCCCTTTGTCAGAATCGAAATCTTCCCAATCAGTACCCTTGAAATTAAAATATCACACAATAACATCTTTTTCAGCTACCATTCTGATCTCATTATACCGTTTCTCATCAACTTCCACATTCTGACCTGTTGGTCTATAACAAGTCCCAATTACAAGACTTTACCCTATATATCCACTAACCCAAACTGACTCAGCCTCAGTGCTATATTCTTTAATATGCTCCAACTCAATTCACTCCTCACATATAAAGATACTCATCTCCATTTTTTCAATACTCTATCTCTAGTAGATAATCTGTAGCCTGTTATTTAAAATAAAATTCTTTCATCAAAATTGTCCAAATCCAATCAAGTCTCAGAGATACCCATAATATCAAAATCCCCAGTTTACACAACTGCTTTGAACTCATCAATCTGTTTCTAATACTCCTAACATTACAATAGTAACAATGATTCATAGATTTTAAAATACGTTCATGTTTTATGCCGCATGTTGATCTTTTTTTTCTGTCAATTATATTTCGTATTTTACTAATATCATAGTCCTCACCTCTGTCTAGTCTTTTTTTAAATCTACCACTACAGCTGAGTTAATAGTCCTTGCTAACATGCTAGCCCCTGCCTTGTTTATGTGTAAGCCATACATTCCAAAAAGATTAACTTTCCGAATAAAATTATCCCACAAATCCAACCAGCCTATTTGCTCATCTCTACATATTGATCCAAGCCTGGCATTCAATCCTAGTAACCTACTTAGTATCTCATCCCCACAATTTATCCTTGGCTATATCCCTGACAAAATCAAGCTATGACCCCTTTCCTTAAATGCATTTATCAATGTTTTATACTTATCAATAAGCTCCTCAGATCCATTTTTCCTTACATCATTAGCCCCAACATGTACATGGTGATGAATTACATATATGTACAATTTTAGATCACAATAACACATTATAATCTTACTTCTTGAAAGTTAATTCTTTATTTTAGCGAGCTTTTTATAAGGAATTTTGAAACAGGATTTACAAGATGTAAAATAATTTTCAAAACGTTTTAAAAAATAACTTTTTCCTGAAACACACGTAATGTGTAAATGCGATAGAATATGATTTATTTGTTAACATACAGAGAGCTTTGTATTTTACTGTTAAAAAGGTGATTGTATATCTCAAATGATATGAAAATCATTGTGTACTACATGTTTCAGTTGTAATATGTGTAGAAATGAAAACATTAACTTACTTGGCAGGCATCTTTTCCGCCCTCTGTCAGCCCAGCACAGATGAATTGTTTTGTAACACCTCGGTTAAAAGGAGAACGTGGGAAAAGTGTGTAAGTTCTGTTACAATCTCTCGAAGAAACTACAGGAATACCATTTACTTCCTGGAGAACATCAGTACTAGGACCACCTGTCAACATGATATAAACTTGATGGAAGAACTATATATTCAAGAGGAAATTTAAATTGCTAGCATTTTACACTTTTATAATTAGAATATCAATATACTGTTATTTTTGTCAATTATAGACACTCGCTGAACGTACCTGTTAAGGTAGAAAAAAACTATATGAGAGACCATGTTATATGATGTTCCCCTTCTTTCTTTCTTTTGTTCTTAAATCTCTGATAACCTTACTAGATGCTAATTGCATAACCTGCAATTGTGGTAGGTAATAACTCATTTAACTCTTGGATATACAAGACTGTTTAGTGTCTAATATTTAACGATTATTTAGTTTTCATAACAAAAGTGTTAAAGTTAATTATTTTACAGGCAATAATTATAACAAATTTCGCTACGTAACTCGGTAAGAGTCGTACATTGTGTGTGTAGTTCAATTGTTGTAGTATTGATGACATCATCTTTCTCGAAACCTCTAAGCTTTTCTCGCTGTGTGAGTATCACTACATCATAGCGTCTCATAGTTTGTAGAAACTTCGAGGCCTCAGATTAGGCAAGGTATATATATATATATATATATATATATATATGAGACCAAGCGAGTGCAAGTTAAGCGAAGTTCAGTCAAGAAAATAAGTTAGTTAGTTAAAGAAAACGTGAAGTTAGCCCGCGTTTTAGTGATTAGCCTTAACGGATGATTTCTATAGTGTGTTACACAGCTTTATTGTAACAACAGAGATAGGAAAAATAACCTATCTTGTCAATTGGCTTCTAACGTAAATGGATCAGTCTGTGTGGGCTTTTGATGAAAAAAAAGATACAATTACTTAAATCTTTGGATACAACTGTAGTAACCAACAAAAGTTAAGTGAAGGAAGTCAAAAAACGTTAAGTTAGTGAAAGTAAAGGTAGACTGCGTGGTTGTTAGTTTAGCCATAAAGGGCAATATTTTAAAGTGAGTTTCACAATTTAACAGATATAAAGGAAAATAATTTGTCTTGTCAAAAGGGTGTTCTAAAGTAATTGAACCTGTCTGTGTGGACTTTGACGAAAAGGAGACAATTATTTAAAGTTCGAGATAGTTAGTTCTAGTAAGTGAATTTATCGTAGATTGATTAGTAAGAAACAGGACAGAGAAAAATAATTCGTCCTGTCAATTGGATTTTAAAGTAATTGAATCAGCCTGTGTGGACTTTTGACAAGAAAAGATCATTATTTAAAATTTTAGATACAACTGTGATATCTTATAGTGCAAATACGTTTTGTACATACGTTCGACTTGTTTTGAATATATTATTTTTAAACAAGTGGATTGTGTGCTGTTCGTTTATTATTTGAATTTATCGCCAACAAGTCACAGACACCTACTGTAAATAATCCAAGTCCACACTTATATTAAAATACTGACATTAACTGATTAAGTATTTATGTCTTTAAATTCAAAGTCTATAAAAAGCGGAGATGTTCCTTATTTCAGGGTGTTTATTTCTCGGACAAAAGTATAAAAGAATACGAGTATATTGATCAGTTTGAAAGTGTCCAACCTATTCATTAACCTATCAACCCTTGAAACACTAAAGGTACTACAGCAATAATTTGAAAACGATAGAACTCTCACAGAGTGTATCCAACTGAAAGTCTATACAACAATAGTGCTCACAACTTTCTGTATCAACACAACGTACTTCCATCAAGATAAATACTATAAACAATATGAAAGCTCTTCCCTGTAATTAGCGCTCAGTCATTTCTACACTGAACATTTCCATGACAACACCCTAAAGGAACCGATTCTACGACACTGGATTTCGCTCAGATATGTTAAAAACTACATTCGTAATATGGCAACACGATTCCAGAATTCGTGAACCATTTAAACAGACGACAATTCACAATGGAAACAGAAAAGTATAACAAGTTTCCATTCTTGGGCGCGATTGTCAACAACACAAGTAACTCACATATCACAAGAACAGACAGGAAACTTACGGATATAAATAAATACTTCCACAATTAATCGCATCACACCACCAGGTGACATAGACTATATAGTTCTCAGAAAGTATACGATTTTTAATATAAAAGATGCTAAGAAGAATGAAGAAAATTACATAAATATGACATCTCTTCATAATTAAATCTAAGTACTTGTAAAAAATACATAAATATGACATATCGTCATAATTAAATCTAAGTACATGTAAAAAATACATAAATATGACATCTCTTCATAATTATGATGACGTACATTTTACAAACTAGATTTGTTTGTTTGTTTTTGAATTTCGTGCAAGGCTACACAAGGGCTATCTGTCCCTAATTTGACAAAAAAAAAAAGGCGCATGTCTGTGTGTTAAAAACTTTTCTAACTCCAGACCTTTACTTTCAATGCTATTGATATTTTATTCTGTAAGTTTTAAGAGAGAACTGGTTGTTTGACCACGTGACAACGTCTCCTCCCTTTATGTTTTCTAAATAAGTTTATCAGCGCCATTTGAGTTGGACCTGTTCGACAGTATTAGTGTGTGTTAGAAATGTGTGCAAGATAAAGATAAACGTTTATAAATTTGTTTATAATTTGTACTGTAAAACCATAAAGCTCTAATCTATCAAGAAATAAGATTTGGGAAAATTTAGTAATTGTTAAACATAGTTATTTACATAGATCCTTGAACTTTACCAGAACAAATCAACTTATAAAACTAAACATGAAATTTAAATAAGCATCCTTTTCTGGACGTATAGATGTTATATAATATATTAGTTATAAAATGAGAACAAACGAATTAGCAATATTAATAAGTGTTTTACATATAAAACGATAAAAAATGCAAAAAGTACGTCATGAAAATTAGATATACAAGCACAAAACTATAGGATTAATTAATTAGTTGAGCATTTTATACATAAAGCAATAGATGATTGTAAATTATATAAATTAAATTACTGGCTCATTCAAATAATGGATAAATTAAGGTAGTATGTATGATAAAATCTTACATATTTAATAGATTATGCTATAATAGTTGTCTTGTTGAAATAATTGTTTTATTTGTAACTTTTATGACATATAATTATATCTACACGACAGTGTTGATGATGTTCACATGAGTTTATCATACTATTTAACTATCTGCCCTAGCAGCACTAACATTAATAACACAATTTGCCAAGTAATACCACCCTCCTATAGAACCTTAGTAACACAATATACCTAGTAACATCATTCACCTTTATAAAACATACAATACACCTAGTAACAACATTCGCGTATAGAATCATAGCAACACCGTCCGCCCATAGAGTCTTAGTAACACCATCCGCTTATAAGATTAAAATAGCAGATTTAATATTTTACTTATAAAGCAAAACTGTAGTAGAGATAAAAACTTTTCATAGTGATAACTGTAAAATCAATGTTATGTAAACTAGATAAAATATTAATTTTTCGACTTTGATTGTTACTATAAAATTAATGACACATGGATCTACATCACTCTCTAGTGGTTTGTTCGCGAACTATCTAAGCACTCATCATACCAACACGCCCTCTGGTACCACTTCGTGGCCCTAGGAATGCGCACTCTAGTGCCACTTCGGTGTACTATGACGTTTACGCCCTTTGGTGACTATTACATAACAGTTACATAATCCTAAGGTGTATATATTACGTAACAATCACGTAACTCTCAGGTGGCATAATTTGTCTATTACGTAACAGTTGCGTAAACCCAGGTGGCGGCATCATTTGCCCCCAAGGGTCTCAGGGTAAGTACTTTTATTACTAGTTTTCAGAATTTTCTTAGAAAGTTGTGCTATTACAATTCGGGAGCTAATATTGATAGGAAATGAATTATTTGAGAAATACATAATATAGCTAGTTTTAGTAATGAACATCAACTATCAAAAGTGACATTCCACAAAGTTCTAGTTTCCTGTAGTTTATAGTGAATAACCATTGCTTTCCTTTCGTTTGTTCAAGTGAAGACGGTGCTGATTTAGTCAAAAGGGTCATGAGCATGTTTCGTGTTATAAGTACTTCAACCGTGCGTGTATGGTTATGTGTTATACTGCTTTCATATAGTACAGAAACAAGTTAGTTATTCTGTAATCCAGTTAGTGGTCTCCATATCTCTAAAATAGAAGATGATTTGGGCTTTGCACAATGAAGAGATCACACATTACTGAAAGGATGGGGAAAAGGATTTTTCTGGCTGCATTCATGTCCAGGAGTTAGAAGATAGTGTGGACGCATACGTTGTCCTTGGAGTAAACATGGTCTGGCCACATCAAGTAAAACTGTAGGTTCTTCTCTGCAGAGGAATATCATAATATATCCTGAAACTGAAAGAGATAAATGGTATACACCACTCATCATTACTAATTAATTCACTAAGAAGACAGAAAGGTAATACTCCATGCAGTCCATAACTGATGTATTGTTTGGGCAGTGAACAACAAGAGTAAGGACATCTAGAGAGATTGACATGGATCCAAGAACAAACTTCAACTCAGTTGTCTGTGAGTGTTATCTATGGTGAACGTGTGTAATTTACTCTGAGTGTCATGATTTAGCTGAATGAGTTGTGCAGACTGTCAAGTATATGCTCACTAAGTTTGTTGATACCTAGTAAAGTGACTGGAATGAGAACCTACTGTGTATCACAGCAGTATACCATGCAAATGAGTAATTAACTTGATGTTTGGGTAATATGTGCAGTTATCAGTAAATTTGGTGCATAGATCACAGTGCCCTAAAGCAAATGTACAGCAGTGTTCACATTAACATGTGGAGTGATTTTGAATTGCATTAGTTGATTCACACGAACTTCCAGATCAAAAGACTGGTCGAGCAGCTTACATCAAAAGAGAAGCAATGGAAAAATAGTAGAAGAAGAATGAAAGGTCAGTCCTGTATGGTTTGGTTTGCTATGTTGACTGACATACGCACAGCTTGCTTCTGACTGGACTGGTCCATATTTCGTTCACTGAAGTGAGCAATAAGCTGCAATAGTCGCATGATGTGTACTGTTACGTATGCTCAACAGGCTGGATCTGTATATTGCTTTTCAGAATCTCGTAGGAGTAGAAACAAATGTGAACGACCGTGACGATACAGATGATGGCGAGAATATTGTATCATATGGTCTATTTTGAGTCGCTTGATGATGCGAAATATGGTGGTTGTGCAACTCTAGCAGCCTGTGAGGAATATCAAATTAGGAAAAGCTATGACAGTCAAATAGATGCTGACATTGGCAGGGAGTGTGTCTAAGGGCGAGATAAAGTATATTGGATTGATACGATGTTCAATATTTTATTAATTCTTTGCTATACTGCAGGACCATTATTCATTTGGAATATCTTATTATTATAACATTTTACATATTCCTTTGCACCATCCTCTCTTAAAACAATCCTGCCGTTATCCCAATCACCCCAAAAGAACATTCCTCACGTCAATAATGATATCCTATCCAGTTTCATTGCTTTTTTTTTCTATCTCTCTGGCAACCATTTCTTACAGTAACTCATCATTATTGTCATTCAATACCCTTTCTCTGTAATCCATAGTGGGATTCTCTGTGTAGTTTTATTTAGTTTACTACGTATACTTCATGTTAAATTGTAGCAATTTCAGTAACTTTTATGAATTAGATCTATGAAAGAGCTAAAAGAACTGGTGTAAGTAATTCAATCTCGCAACATGAATCAAAAACTGAAAGTCGATCCTTTTACCACGTGTATTCCTAATCTTCTAATTTCTTGATGTGTTGTAGACTGATTAATTAGGGTTGTACAGATGAAGAGAAACTTAATTCAGTACTTTATTTTTACTTATTGAACACGTGTTTTAAATTCTAATCAGTTGAAGTATTAGAACTAAACTTTTACTATTTTAATTTATATATGACAAATACTGTACATTTAGTTTTGTTGTTCTCGAATTCTGAGAGCTTGTCTAATTACACATACACATACAAGCACAGGAAGCAAACAGCATTGTTTCAAGTGTTGTCGGATTTATTTTACATTTGGTTTTTAGAATACGTATTCCGTAAATCCAGACCACCGTAACCCTTCACCACTACTATAAACAATCAAATTAGTTTCTTTGTTTGCGGTTAAGCACAAAGCTACACACCACGGGCATCGAAACCCGATTTCTAGCGTTGTACTGGGGGGAGCAATCAAATTAGAAAGATTCCAGTGATTGATTTTAATTCGTTTTTACACTTTCATTTTTGAATTCGTGTGTATGAAAAGTGCTACAGAGTACTTTTTAATCAGAATTCCAAATATAAGAAAAATAAAAATAACTCATAGCCATTTACCATAGGAAAGATCTCCGTAGCCTAACAGAGTACTGGAAACTCCAGTCAGGTCTCGTCGTGCAAGTACATGGTTTGGCAAACATACCGGAGCTACGGCATCAGAATAAGAAACGCTTTCCTTCAGACGTAGGATCGCGATATCGTTGTAATAATGTTTTTTTACGTAACCTTCATGGACTTTAATAGCCTCCACGTCATACAAGCGTCCTTCGTATGCATTCAGTTGGCCAATCCGAGCCTTGTAATCGGACATTAATTGTCTAAAGGAGAGAAAAATGAATAAATATATACTTTTCTTACAATTATTTGAAACATGCATACCCTATCTTTTAGAAATAAAATATTTTATTGTCTGATGTACAAAGATAATTATATATTTAGCATTGTTAAAAAAAACATCCATTATTTTATGTATGAAAATTTCTGAGCTCTGGGACTCATAACAAGTGATGGCTTAACCTGGATGTAAGATAACTAACGTGGTAACTAAAAATCATGATTAAAATTAAGTGATTAAAGCTGAAAATTTTAAAAAGTTACAGCACTATCCATCAATATATTATTACAAGTTACAGCTTTTACAGCAAGGAAAAATATTGTTACGTCTCCGTTCGTTCGTTAACTAATTTTCCGTAAATTCGTTCCGACGAAACTTTAGCGACACAAGTCTTTTCTTAAATTAAAACTGGTTTATTCTTTC